AATGTATATTAGTATAATATTTCACATTTACTTTCCTTATAAAACAAGAACTACAAATATACGCTTTTTCTCTCTGTTTCTCTTGGTCACAGAACTACACCAGGATTAAGTGCCTCATTAACTCATCGTAAAACACACTTCAAACTCACACACAGAAACAAAATAAAGATAAGATAAGATAAGATACACCTTTATTGATCCCATAATTGAGAAATTCCACTCACCCATACTGTCTTGCTTACTTTTGTTACTCGTCTACTTAGTTAGACCACTGTTCAGACAATCACCATCTCCAGTATGGCCGAAGTAAACCCTTAACTCACTGAGTCAGATTCTGTCTACAGTCCTGTAACCTCTCCCTCTACCACTCGGAGTGACGTTGTCTCTTGGATCAGTTGCCTGTTCCACCAGTAGAGACAGGAAACTGACCTCTGGTGGCTTGTGATGTACACTACATACAGTGAGATTAATAGAAAGAGGAGCGCCTGTACTTATGATGTACTGTGTGGATTTCTAAATACTCTTCGTTAATGACGTTTAAAAGCAGCGGGCTAATATAAATGTAATACCCTTTTTCCTTTATCACTCTTGGCTGCGCTAAGTAAAGCCATGCCACGCCAAACCGCGCCAGAGATGGACCTTCTCAATAGTAGGTCCAAAGGTCAGGCTGCCCACCCTCAAGCAGGTCGCGGTGACATCTTGACGACTGCAGCCAACCCTCAACGACCCTCCTTCTCTCCCCCATACAAGTGTGTGTGTTGGGAGACTCTATTCACCTCTGTCTGCAGGAGACCAGAGAGGAAGGCGTTTTTAAAAGTCTCTGTGTTCAGCTCTTAGTACTCTTGTAGCTTCTAACTGAATCTCTGTGGTTTGGAGTTTAGTTTCTCTCTTGCGTCCTGTTTTTACTTTAGATATCTGCTTTATTTTACTGTTTCATGTTAGCTATCAGCTGTATTAAAAGTTGTGTGAAGTTGCTGCCGTAAACTCAACATTTTCCTTATTTTGGTGCTTCGCAAAAAAAGTTGATACATGACAAAATAACTGGGGACTTTTATTGTGAAGAATCTACAGGAAATTAAATGTGTTAACACTGAATTAGCGGAACTTTGCTAACAGCTTCTCTTCAATAAAGGCAAGTCTCATAATACGGCAGGGAGAAACGACACCTTCAAGAAGGTAGCCCTGTTATAATGGAAATGCAAATCCCTGCTGTGCTGGGCTGACAGCCCAAACCAAACTAAACCAAGCCAAGCCAGCTCATGACTGTCGAAAAAGGGTACAAAAGTACCAAATGAACTGAGAGCTTGACACAGAGACTTAAAAAATGTTTTTCTCTCTGGTCTCCTGCATAGAACTGAGTTGAGTCTTGCAGCAAACACTTGTTTTAGGGGGAGATGGGGTCGTTAAGAGTTGGCTGCAGTTGGCGAGACATCACAGCTACTCGGTTGGAGGCAGTCAGGAGTGCTTTTGGCCTAACTCCAGAGATGGTCCATCTCGGGCGCAGCTCCACATGTTTAAACTGACAATGGAAACACAGCCTAAATTGCAAATGGAAAAGCCCTACTGGTAAAGTTGCATTGTAGGTGATGTAGGCATGAGGTTTAAACAAGGAAGAAGAATGTGTGGAATAAAAAAGCTGATATCTCTGGTTCTGCTGCTTTGATTTAAAACGTTTTTTAATCTTTTCATTACGGGTCTAACAATGTTATTACAGCGCAATACTGAATCAGCGGAGAACTCTTTCAAAAAACATCTCACGTTTTTAATTTTGCTTTAAGTCTGTATCTTTGTTTTTATTGAATATGACTTAAAATTTAATTTTCATTTCATTTAATCTTATTTTAATTAGTGAATTCAATTGTTATCAATCTTTCATGTTTTATTGTATTTTAATATTTAGTTTGCTATCTTTTAATTCATTTGTTTAAATGTTTTTTATTAAACATAAAGCACTTTGGGCTATGTACGAAAGGTCCTGAGCACATAAAATGTATGACAATTCCTATTTCATTCTGTCTAAAAGAGGATACTAACAACTGTGAATGAATGAATGAATGAATGAATGAATGTACAGCATGGATCAGTAGTAATTATTGCTCTGTGTGTGTGTGTGTGTGTGTGTGTGCATGTGTCGACTGTCCATTCAGTCAGTGCGTTTGCACCATTTAAACCCTCCTCCGTCCTTGATCAAGGAATCAGGACAGTGTGTTGCCATGGAGACGCAGCTCTATAACAGTTGCCACAGCGATTAGAAGAAGAGCTGAGCTGAAGTGGTTGTTAGGGCGACCGTGAAGAGAGCGAGAAAGTGAGGCAGGGAGGCGCCTGGTAAACACACAGGAAAACAAGCGGAGGGGTTAAGTTGAGAACCCCCGTTTGTGCTCCACCCTGTCATAGTGGAGCAAATGAAGCGCCCCCCCGCCGGAAAAAAAAAAAAAAAAAAAAAATTCCCAAACTGAGTCAGCTCCAGTGAGCAGGAAATTACTCATTTCCTCGCAACAAGTAGATGTCAGATGGATGTGTCTTTATTTGGTAAACAGTGAAAAATGAAGTCAAGCTCCGATAGAGGAAGCGAGGCACAAAGAGAGTCAACAAAACTCACCTCTGAGCTGGAGAGCGAGTCAGTTTCAACATAGCGGGTTTTAACTGGGCTAACACAGAACCAGTCACGTTGCAACAAGCCAAACTAAAGAGCTGGCAGCTGGCCTGGTGAAGGACATGTTGCCTACATGCATACAGGTCACCCGTCCCTCGCCACTGATGCTGACCTGGAATCACTACCTCTTCTGGGTTCAGTTAAGCCTTGGCAACTGATCGTTTCCTTAAAAGCCTAAAAAAAGGCGGCTCTCCACGGACCACCGAGGCGTGCAGGATTGATTAGTGGCACACTCTGTCCAGGCACAAGTATGTCACCTCTCCAGGGAGGGACAGGCCAGTAAACAACCACAGCATTGGTGTTGGTGTCTGAGGAAAATCAGCAGTAATAGGTTTTCACAGCAAACTAGAATATGGGCAGCAGGAGTTAGAGAGAAGGTTCTGGATTGTGTGACGTGAGATCGAGCTTCTTCCTTTAGAAGAATGACGTAAGAACAAAGTCTGGAGAGGGAGCGACATGAGGCAAAGGGGAAAGAGACAGGTGCACGACGGTGTTCCCAAAACAACAGGGCAGTTATTGTATTTGGCCCGTTGGTTTGTCCCACTTACCAACTCGGTCAGCAGTTGGAGCTGCAGCAGTGACTGTGAGGCAATTAAGGTACTTTAAAACCCTCAGCGCCTGATTGCTGCAATTTGCCTCAAAACTCACACTTTTTTATTTTTTTTAGTTAATGTTTATTTGTGTCGGGCCGAGTGTGTTGCATAAACCAATACCACACAACACAGCATGTACAGCCTTAGCTAATTTGCAATGCCTGTCCCTAGATGGGCCTTTAGAATACATAAAACTCAACAACACAAGAGACAGAACAAAACCAAAACTCAACGATATATGTGTACATTAAGAACACAAAACTCAACGAGAAAAACACAGACACATGGCATAATAAAGTACTAAGGGTGTAACTATACATTGATCTGGATTGATATGTCAATTAATGCCGAAAAATCTACATATCATCGTCTTTAAGATACACCTTAATCGTGAAATTCCCATGGCATGTCTGTGTCAGTAATTCTGTCCAAGCAGACCTCTTCTTTAAACATTCAAACCGTGCTAGTGGCCGAGCACCAGGCAGACAATGGTGAGGAGCCAAGGCAAAGACAATAAGGATTTTAACTGATAATGTCATGTTGGCTGCCTTAAAGTCAATAAAAAGTCAGAAAATAATGAAACAAAAAATCCAAAGCTATTTAATCATCATGTATGCCAAAGAAAAGCATCAAATACTCACATCGAAGAACCCTGACACCAGCAAATGTTTGGCTTTTTTGCTTGAAAAAATGACTTAAATTGATTATTCGATTATCAAAATAGTTGCCAATTAATTTTCTGTCGATCAATTAATCAATTAATTGACTAATAATTGTTGCTCTTATCGTCACATATGGATCGCAGGCCCCTGAACTGAATCTAACTGAAATAATTTTGTGGCAGACTTCTTGCTATCAGGAAATATGCTACCGTTGTTCACAGAATCAATATAATATCGTATCATGATGAAACTTAGAAAGAACCATAGAAACAAGAAGCACCAGATCACTCACGACCTCATGAATCATCTTCATCAATTAAGTTGAATTGATCCCAGTCAGGATCCAGTCTGAGTTCTGCAGGTAAGGAACGCCACATTCTCTTGCACTCTCTGAGGATATCATTATCTACAATGTCCATTCCCAATAATTGCCCATAAATCTGTTTAGAAATTAGCAAACAGACGCACCTTATATTCCAGAACTTGCCTGAAAATCATCACATTTTTATGTTCCCTTCAATATAAAAGTAACACACTGACAGTTGTCTGTACATCTATTTGTAAACTGCCAACAGGAACTGCTAATTGCTAATTCAGCATACTTTTTATAGTGCCAGTTTGCCAAAATGTAAACATATCTAGGCTAAAAATAAAAGTTGTAGCCCAGAGGTAGCGCACTGTATTGCTGGGGAGGTGTAGTTATCCTCGATTTTGTCTGAGGGAGAACCCACAGTGTTAGACTTTGAAAACTCCTGGGTTAGCCAGTCAAACCGTAGCTGCTGCCCAGTTTGATTACTGTGCATCTGCTGCGCCAACATTCTAACACATGCTGGACAGTGAGTGTGCAGGCGGCTCATTTTGGGCGAGCGTCAGCAGCCAAATAACTAGCTTCACCCAAACTAGTGGTTGCAGAAAATCCAGCATGATTATATGTCATTTACACAGCCAGATAGTCTAAATAAAGCCACACTGAGGAGGTCTAATGTCAGAGCACATAAAAAATGTGACCCTGTTGACTCACAGCATGACAGATGGGATGCAAACACAGACACAGGAAGCTGGGTGAAGACAGTGCCATGAACTCCATCTTACCTATCCAAACATCATTTCCAAACCAGGAGAGGTTCTTTTGAGAGCTGTCATAGTAACCGATCTTCTTGTAACTGCCTCCTGGATGATTGGGAAGGAAAAAGAAACAGCGGGACAAGGAGTGAGAGAGTGAAATAAAAGCACAAAAGTCAGAGAGAAAGAATAGCTTAATTAGTATTGCATGTGTAATTCATTTCCTCCCCTGGTGTTTTGTGGCGGATCATGATTTCAAACAATACAGCACAACTTGACAGAACTGATTACAATTCATAAAACCGCCATTTAGCTATTTTTCGTTGGTTCCTGTGGCTTCATGCTAATGGTATGCGTGGGTACAGAAAAGACACACAATGAACAGATAAAAGAAATGAGGGATGAAAAGGTGCATAAAGAAGGACAAATAAAGAAGTACCAAGGGGAGAAGGAGGAGAAAAAAAGGAGCTTATGTGGCAGTCTTGACCAGGAATACTGATGAGGCCCCACAGTGATTCAGGGATGCAAGTCAGGTCGTCTCATTGTGGATGTCAAATTACCTCGACACCACAACAGGAAATATGAGACAGAAAGGAGCAGGATTATAAATTCCCATCCTTTAGGACGCCAAAGGGAACAGAGGTAGAAAATAATCCTCAACCTTATCCTGTGCGGGGAAACTCATTAAGTCACTGGTGACAAATAGGATGCCATTTCCAGAAACAGCTTAAAACGAAGGCTTGTGCCCAATTAGAGCAAAGCCTTGAGTCAACACATTCCTGCATCAAGCCCATTCGCATGTGCAATTATAAGATATTGAGACCAATCACAGTGAAGCCCCCCAAACAGAGAGGCTTTGCCTTGAAATGAACTGAGAGCAACGATTGATACATGAGGAATACAGTCAGCTGTGACTTTTTTTTTAATGAATAAGTGGCATTTACTGTTTACTGCAACACAACATCTGTGGGAGGACAGTGTGGGAGTGTTTTACCTTGCAGTTGCTCGATAAGTGTCATTGCCATCCTGGAACCCTGAGCATCAAACACCACTTGGCCCTGAGACACAGACAGGAGGAGGTGTTTTTTAATGCAAATGATTAAAGGAAGAGTTTGACATTTTTATAAATACACACATTTGCTTTCTTGCCAAGAGTTAGTTGCAAGGATTGACACCTCTCTCATGTTTGTACCAAGCGGCCACCTCCGGGGCTGAAAAATGAAGCCAAAGTGGAAGTGCCAAAAACTGCAGTTCCTCTAATGGCCACTTGAGGCTGACTTCAAGAGCAAGTCAATCCCCACAGACCCCCATGTTAAAATGTCCAACTTTACAGTAGAAACATGTTTATAGCCTGGAACAAAAGTGTTTTTGGTCTCTATAGTTAATTTCCCCCTTTATGACAAATATATGAAGAGCAAATTTTTATTTATTGTTTTTATTAAGGCTTTAAGTTATACATGATTAAAGGCGAGGCCGCTTTGAATGCTAAGCTGTCTGTGAGGTCACCACAGTCTATAGCCCATTTTACACTCCCTCTTCAAGGCAGGAATTTTACACCATTATGCAGCCTTGCCATTCTGTATAAAAAGTACAATCCTGGAACAGGGGGACAGAGTTGTCTCGCCTTTAAGCCGACTGCAGCAGAGGTAACAATGCCAAAATGACCTCTGGGTGAAAGGGACATCCAGCGGGGTGGAACTATGGATGAGGGCGTGGCGTTTTGACGATATATTATGTGTGCAACCAGCTGGTGGGAGATTTAAAAAGCAGCTGATAGCAGTTAGCAGCTAACTCAAAGAAGATGACTAGCAGCCTGAAAATGTCCACAAATTGAGAAAACAATGAGCTGAGGGAGCTCCTTACCCTCCGAGCAGAGGACGAGATCAGCTGCCACATAAAAATGACTGTAAATACTTGTTATTGCCATGTTATGCCATTGTTATTGTTGATAAAGTGGCGGACACTGTTGTGTTTCATGTCATGTCCGTCATGCCTCTTTTGCTTCCCTGATACCGGCATGCTGCCTAAAATCACACACTGGAGCGGCATGATGCTACAGTTGTTTTCTTCTGTATGAAAAGCAAAGGTGGTGTAAAGACAGGACTTTGAAGCGGCCCTATAGGGGCGTGTGAGTCACATCCACCTCTCGTTCCCCTACAGCTCCACCCTCTCTTCCAAATATGCTCACTTCTGGCTCCAAAAATCCAAAATGGCGACAACCAAAATGCCAAACTTGAGGCTTCCAAAGCAATGGATGACGTCACAATGGCTATGTTCATTATTTTTATACAGTGTATGATTTGTATGCAAAATATGATGCTATAGCCAGCAGCCAGTTAGAACCAATAAAGACTAGAAACTGGGAAAACAGTTAGCCTGGTACAGCCAAAGATTTACTAAGACATTCAGGCAGATTTTAAACAAATCTAACTGCCAATAAATGGTAAAGTTATTACATGACATTGGGTGAGAGCGGGGTTCACCCTGGGCAGGTCGCCAGACTATCACAGGGCTGACACATAGAGACAGACAACCATCTATGCTATCATTCACACCTACAGCTAATTAAGAGTCTGTGGGAGGAAGCTGAAGTACCCGGGAAAACCCACGCAGACACAAGGAGAACATGCAAACTCCGCACAGAGGGTCTCCCCCACCACAGAGTTTGAACCCCTCACTTCGGGTTCGAAATGTATAATTGACCCAAATTCTTTTTTGCCTCAATCATGTTACTTTTTCAATTTAAACTCAGTTGCCATTTTATTAAGTAGGCTACACCTGTAAAATCTTATCCATCCATCCATCCATCCATCCATTTTCATCCGCTTATCTGAGGCCGGGTCGTGGGAGCAGCAGGCCAAGCAAAGCACCCCAGACGTCCCTCTCCCCAGCAAAGCCTTCCAGCTCCTCCTGGGGGACCCCAGGGCGTTCCCAAACCAGATGAGATATGCAATCCCTTCAGCGTGTTCTGGGTCTGCCCTGGGGGCCTCCTACCCGATATAACAACTCAGCCATGCATTCTACCTCACTTGAAAAACACAGAAGTCACCCTTTAAATATACGCTTATTGCTGAGGTTGTAGTGTGCATTAGTGTTAAACTGGACTGAATTATATTGAGGTCTTTCTACTGTTTTGTAGGCCCCATTTACAAACACAAGTGGGGAAGAATACCAGAAACACATCTGAGTACAATTCAGTCCAGTGCAACACCACTGCAAACTACAACCTCAGTAATAAACATAAAGTTGAATTAACAACTAAAGTTTTAAGAAAAACTGGCCATAAAAGGCTGCATAAAGGTAGAATATGTGGCAGAGCTGCTGCTGTGGATTGCAGTAGATTTTACAGGTTTGCCTAACAAGCTGTCCAGGGAGCGAATGCGAACACTTTCTTTATTATACTAAATTCAATTATTCTTATTTTCCTTCCGGAAATAGTGGACACTCAGGAGCTGATATCTGTCCACAAGGAGTATTTTTACTCTCTTTCTGCAGGTCAGTTTGCTTCTTTAGTAACTCTAATAAAGTCTTTCACTAAAGAATGTAACTAGTTAGTGATTTTGCCACTGGCTAAATCTTAAAACACAGCAGTAGCAGGGGTGGTGGTGGTTTCAAACAAGCACAAGCCCAGAATAAAAGATAATATGCGGTAACATGGTGGCATATCAAATCTGCTGTTATTATCTCCTGTAAAGAATAAAGATACCATTAATTTTAACACTATGCACTTCTATCAGACATCACTGACTTTGTGATATCAAACACTGTTTTTCATTTGTTCCTTCCCTTCACATGAATATATATTTTACATTTTAGGCCTCTGCACAGATTTGAGACAAGTGAGTCTACACAGTTTGATCACCATACGTAGTAACAACTGGAATTCTAAAGCTTAAAAAGCACAGCATTAAAAAATACCTGTACATAACACTGCATATTCATATGTTGCACATAGCGATGGTGTACCATATTTCTTTTTTCTCTGTACTTACCGAAACACCTTCAAAAGAGCTTGTGTTGAGTGCCCTGTAGATCTCAGAGGTGATGTCATGGTTGTTGTAGTTGAAATCCTCTAGTCGTCGGCCCTTGGCCTTCAGTGGTGCCACAGTCTTATTGAGGGCAAGGGCCAGAGCCCACACTGCATCGTAGGCTAGAGGGGCCTCTTGAAAACCACCAGTCTCCTCTGGGTTCTTTCCACCCAGACGGGACATCAAGGCGGCGATAAACTCCTGCGATGTCTGATAGAAACAGAACAGAAAGGAAAGATGACTCCTTCTGACAAAAAGCACATTAATATGTCTATTACTCAATTTCAAAGAGGAGGAGACAGTGGTGGATCATCTGGAGCATTTATAAGTCCTACATGATGACAACATTCTCTGCAAAAATATGGGTTGGATTTTCTTTAAACATTGAATTTTAGACCGACATTAGAAAGAAAACACTGTTCCTAATAAGTGAGTCACCGTTGTTTACCTCCATACTGAAATAAAGGGGAGCGAGTATTAATCAAAGTAACAGTTCAAGATTTTGTAAAATACGCTTATTTGCTTTCTTGCTGAGATTTTGATATCTCTTTCATACCTGTAAGCTAAATGAGAGGCTACAACCAGCAGGCGATTAATGAGCTCAGCATTTAACACTGGAAACAAAGGGAGAAGGCTAGCCCGGCTCTGTCCAAAGTTACATTTCTGTTTGTATAGAAAACTGTATTACACAAACAGGATACAACGTGCAATTAAAGCAAATGAAAGCCCGGGCTACTAATTGAAGTTTTACGGGATTTTATGTTGTAGTAAAAAACATGAAAATGCCTTTAGCTTGTGTTAAAAACAGACACACCACACCACAGTCAGTTAACCACCCTATTTCAAGCATCCAATCAAAGACCTATTGAAAAAAACAATTGGCTTCAAGACTCATTTCCGTGCTCATTCCTGTAGCACTTTAAATATGCTGCACCGACTGAAAGAGGAAGCTAAAATATTTCTTTGTTGGTTCTTCTAATATTACAGATACTCCTTTTGCAACTTTAGGAGATTAGCCAAAGTGAGGTGCTGTGATAAGAGTTAAAAGCAAGGAGAGGTATTGTGTTTCTGATGTGGATTATTACCGTCCTGCTTTTAACTGACACTGGAAACAAATATAAAACGCTCACATGTGGGTGCAGCTTAACACACAAGACATTCAGTCTTAAAAAATATATGTAACATGTGGCACCAGACTGAACATGACCGATCCTGAAAATCAAAGAAATAATTTTCAACTTTATTCCAATGTTTTCTTTTCCTCTAACAAATGTACAATTCAGCTGTTTTTGTGATTAAACACCAATAAACATTATCTCCCTCTGAATGCGGGGATGACTACATGTGTGACGGGAGAATAATTGCTACCAATCATCAAGGTGTCCCGGTGAATTCTCTGAGGCCAATTAGGGCCCACACACCCCCCCAGTTCAGTTATGTCAAATTCATCTCATTGAAATTCCACCTTGGCATTTGGCATTTAAATCTGCCACTACCTACTGAAATCTAGCTGACAATGTGCTATTGCAGACCCTGCAGTACTGGCACACCGGCTTCATCTGAATGCTCTATCGAGGAGAAATATGCCAATTTCAAACTTGGAAATTGAATTTGAATAGATTGACTATGAGTTCGGGCTGTAATTCTTATCACCCATTGAGCAGCACGTCAACAGCTAAATCAGCAGGTAGCGGCAGGTGCTGTATGAATATAAACAACAGCTGCTGATGAAGTGTGAGAGAGGGAAAGGAGGGGCACGAGGGGGAGAAGGGAAGGGGAGGGGGGTGGATGGTGGAAAAGGTGGGGATGAAGAAATGATAAGGAGAAGGGAAAGGTGGGTAAACAAGAAGAATGAAAGGATGATCCACCATAGACCAGCAGAGCCAGAGAAGGTCGAACAATGGGAGAGAGGAAGAGACAGTTTAAGAGGATTAGAGAAGGTGAACAGAGGAGAGTGACGGGCGAAAGAGAAGCAGAGAGCGACTGCTACCTGCGAGGAAATATTATAAAGGAAGACATTCAGAAAGAGTGTGACAGTATTAAACATGTATTTCTCTACCTGATATCAACGGTTTATGAAACATAATATTGATTCAGGTCAAACACAGTTCACTGACGCCATGACGTTATTGTTCCAAACACTGTTGCCTGGGGAAAACTCTATCTCATGGGGATCGATCTATCTTACACAGACAGCAGGATGGAGTTTATTAGGGACACGGATAAGAAGCAGGATATAGTTGAAAAGATTCGCGTTAACCACAATGAATGAACAGACAAAAGAGCTCGAACTACATTAACTAAAAATTCAAGAAGGAAGACATCACAGTGTTTGGCTGACAAGTGATCACTGAGAAGTGCAGGAACACCACAGAAATTAAAAACTAGCAAAAGATATCACCTTTCACCAACTACAGCACTGAAAATACCACATGCATATGCACAGTGGTGCACATAAAATTTGAGCTGTACGCCTGATTGTCTGCTCTACATGCATCTGCCAACTCACACATTGACCCTGAGTAGTCATGCAATATTGACACTTTTTACACACAGTCTACACACACCACACATCCAATTTTTTTACTTAATGAAAAAAAAATATATATAACTGAGAAAACCACCGACAGGACACTGGTCAACCAGCTGCGGCCAGTACACTGCAGTGAAGTTAGTTTAACATTCCCTCCAGACCAAGCACCGTCTTCTTAGTTTCACCCGATGTTAGCAGTACAAGCACAGTTTGTGTGTGACATAATTCAGGTGACATTATGTTAATAACATCTTAATAATTTTAAGCCAAACTGTAATGTTTTTTCCCCAAACCTAGCCACAATCTTTTCTTGCCTCATACTCGCGATGGACGTGATGTGAATGACGCGAAATTTGCAAATTAAGTAGCGCGATTTAGTGTCATTCTCTTATTCACGAGAGTTGAAAAATCTCAACTGAAACAACCAATTTGTGCCCCGATAGCCAATCAGCATTGAGATCCTCTGGGGACGCTTGACACTGAGGATGCACCGGCTGAAGTTCATTCATCGATTCAGCGACTTCACGTGCGTATGACGCGAGTTAAAGGGGATTTATACTTGTGCGGCAGACCCTTCGCCACAGCCTACGCACATGGCCTACACACATGACCTACGCCGTTGTGAGCATTTATACTTGTGCGGTGGTGTGTCTGTGTCACTTTGCAGTTACACCTCCAAAACACTAGATGGCAGTGGATGTTTCTATGAAGTGCTGTAAAGTTTGGTTGATTCAAACACACATTAAACACACATTAAACATGGCTTAACAGCGACAATTTCAAACACAAGTACACAAATCAGCTTCACTATAACTCGCAGCATTCACAGACAAAGCACTTGTCTTTATCTGGACACATTTTCCCCACAAGTACAACATGCTAATGTTTTTAGCACAAGCTATGGCATTTTACATTGTATAAATTAGCCTAACGGCTAGTGGACTTCTATCTACTCATATGAAGCCAGGGACAACAGCAACATTTAACAAAGGTGACATTAAAAAATCCGGCTCCATTACAACTCACAAGGTTCACTGACAAAACAACTGTCTTATGCTAAACATATTTTACAAAAAAATATAAGATGCTAACGTTAGTAGCACAAGCCTATGGCATTTTACACTGTATAAATTAGCCTAGCGATGATCAGAGAGTTCCTCTGCTCATATGAAGTCAGATTTAATCACACACAAAACGCTATTTTGTGGAGGCTTTACTGTCTTCACAATTTATTGTTTCTTATATGATAGGAAAGAACTTCTGGTCCAGAGACAAAATAGTAAAAGATGCACAATAGACGACAAGTTGATCTTCAATTGACGGTTTAAAAAAAAAAAAAAAAAAAAACACATCTGGAATCGTTATACATTCCTCTAACCCATCTGATGTTTTTCTCAGGGACCCCCTACCTACCTTGGGTCTCTGCCCAAACCAGATACAGATGTGCTGGCCATCAGTCAATAAAATGAATACAAACATGACGTATGCCTATGCCTAGGTCACTTCATCCTAACATTATATGTGAAATTAAAGTAAATAAAAGCTTTGTTTCCACTGAGGGAACCTACAGCGTAGGTACGGCGTCGATTCGACACAGAAGTATAAATTCCGCCTTATTCACACACTTTTGAAGCAGATAGCAAGTAAACCTCAAAACCTCAAAGGAAGTAAACCTAAAACCTAAAAACAAAGTTGGAAGTTTATTTTGAAAAGAGACTGTAACAAGTGAAAACTGTTCATTTTCTGTGAAAATTAAGTTTATTATCACTGTACAGGGCTCTAAAACATTTCTACTTATGAATTTTAAAAAGACTCCCATAACTTTTCTGTATTATTTTACCCGATTTCCACGACTGCATTTAAGTAGTTCTCATAGGTAGGCCTATATAGAGATACAGCCAAACATTATTAACAACTTTTCAGGCATTTGCGAATAATAACTTTACTCGCTCATTTTATATTCCCACCGCCAACTAGCTGCATACGCCAATAGACCAGACTGACACATACAGCAGGGTATATGCAGGAATCCTGAAGTTAATTTCAATACCTAAAAAAAAATAAATAAATATATGGAGCACAAACATACAACAGAACTCAGATAAGATGAGAAGGATTTTTTATTGTGTTTTGTTCCTGTTTGTCGCCTGGACGCGCGCTGACGCATGATGTCACACAGGTACGCGTACGGCCCTGAGTGGCAGTGTGAGTGTGCCTACCTACACATTATTGTTTGTAATAGTTGCAAGGAGGAAAATAAATTATACATTCATGGAAACTTTTTGTCAAAGCTTGAATGCCAAGAAAATGTAATACTTCATAAAATCGCGATTAAGACGTTTTAATACTTTTTAAGGGCCTTAATTTTCCGACATTTGATTTATCAACTTTTAATACTTTTTAAGACCCAGCAGACACCCTGTACAGGTACTTGCAAAGCCTTGTTTAACCTGCAACACAACAGCTTTTCCGCATTTTCCTGTTTCTCCACTTACGTGACAACACCTTTTCTTTCTCCCAAAAGAGGCGTGGCCTTGGCAACAGTGCAATGCCAGCCAGGTGAATGTGTATCACGTGATACTAGTGATATTTTAGTGAATTTTTATGTACATACAATGTATGTTAAAACCATTTTCATGCCTGGAAAACAATTTTCTAATTTCATAGCTGTGGTAACCCTTTTTATAAGACACAATGAATGTAACAAGCTTAAAATGACATGCCGTCCTTAAGCATCCAAAACTGACGCTGGAGGGGTACCTACAGTGTAACAGTTTAACATGTAGAGCCACTTACTCATTGTCTGTATTATTTGATGAGTTGGGAATAAGATTGTGTTGATTTAACAGTATTTTAGGGCTCATAATAAAAGTTAGGAATTTGTCTGTGTTTATTTTGGCTATATAACAAGACTAGAAGTCTGCAGCCATGCTAGCAGCTGCTAACATGCTAATAATTCATGTTTTGTTACTCTGAGAGACTCTGGTGCATAATCAGCATCACATTTGCACTTCATCCCTGTTTTTCTTTTCACCTTTTGGGTGCAGGAAGACATAAATACAGGTGATAATTAGTGTAAACCAAAGTGTGAGTATCTGAGTATTTTTCCATTCAAATCCTTTAATGGAGTTTACTGATGTGTGTGAGAGGTGTAGGCACTGCACTTCTTGATGGATTTACAGATGTTTGTGCAATCTTTTCTTTTCTCATGTATAATCATTTTAATTTCCTGATTGTTTTCTGTATTGATTATCAATATGATCCAAAGTTTTGCTGTATTTGTGTCTACAAATACAAGTGGGAGCTCCTTTTCCAATGTGTACTTGTGTGACAAAGCACAGGTGCACTCTAGCTGATGTCATTATAAGCTCATTAAACACTTCTAAGTGCCCCAAGTATTTTGCATTGTGATGGATTCTTTATAACTTGACTTATTATTTGTCAGTTAGAGGAATGCATTCACCTTTCAAACTGTTGATGTTACAATTCCTCACCACTGATCAATATATATCTATCTAATATAATTACACGTATAGGTACAGGTCTGAGTTTAAGCCTTACATGGTCTGGCACCCCTCTGCCCCCTTTCCAACCCAAGATCTCTCAGATCCTCACACCAGTTGCTCCTGGCAGTCCCACGATCGAGACTAAGGGGGAAGGGTGATCGTGCATTTGCAGGAGCCGCCCCAAAGCTACACAACAGTTTACCCTTTTCTTTCTTTTAAAGATTTGTTTGGGCTTTTTTATTGGACAGAACAGATTAAGCGTGAAAGGGGGAGAGAGAGGGGATGACATGCAGCAAAGGGCCATGGGCTAGAACTGGCAAGGACACTGCCTTTGTACATGGGATGCCAGCTCTACCCACTAAGCCACTGGCTGCCCCGAACAGTTTACCCTTTCAAATTAAGTGCTCCCCCTCTGTAGACACATTTAAATCTAAGCTGAAGACCCACATGTTTTCTAAGGCCTTTGATTGTCCTTCAGGTTTGTGTTTTTATTTTCGGATCTTACTATTCTGTGCTTTATTTTCTTTTTCACTCCTTTATTTGTGCATTTTTTTGGGTTTGTTCTGTTATTTTGCGTATGTTTTGCTGTTACCATGTTATGTTACTTTACTTATCTTATTGTACGGCACCTTGGTAAACTCTGGTTGTTTTTAAATGTGCTTTATGAATAAATTTGATATGATTTGATTTGATACAAGAGTAATGGTAGAGTAAATAGTGTTTTGCGTGTTCCCACCATGTTGGAGAAGCCGCGGACCGTCTCAGGATTCAGCATAACGATCTCCGTGGTCACATGTCCCTCCACGGCCTCCGTCATGTTCTCCACCGTACAGTTGATAGCAGGGTCTTTGATCTTGAACCAGTTGTCAGCATACCAGCCTATGAGGAACCACACATACTTCTTCCCGTAGAGCTTCTCCTTGAACACCTGCAGCAGGGAGGGTGGGATGCAGACACAGAGGGTGGTTGAGGGGAGGGAGAGAATGATAAATAAGCATGAGGAGAGTTATTCCCTGAGATGTGTTGAGCATGTTGTATCACTGCCAAACACGGAAATTCATTCAGACATTCAAACAGCTCATTACAGAGCTCAGTTTCTGCTAATAGCCAGTCAGGTTCAGTCTATTGGGATCAATCAAGCGAGAAAAGTTACTAACCTCACAAAACACCTTTCTGGCTTCGGTCTCATAAAAGAGCCCCACAATGATCCTTGCATCTTGGCGCTGCATTGAAACATAAAACAAAACATTGCTTAGTTACATCAGCAGCAACAATAAACTGTAGCTTCACTGTAGCACAGCTTGATGTGGCGGCGCAGCGTGCCAAAGTTCCTGCTGCTTCGCAGGACGACACGTACTGCTGTTCAGGAGTTGCTAATTAGCATGGCGCATTAATTTCCTCTATCAAATCGCCTCTATGCTAATGGTATCGTGTGCAGCTGTGAGCCAGAGGAGGAAGGAGAAGGGGGGAGAGAGACGACCAGCAGCTGAGGTGAATTTTTAATCAAAGCACCTTGAGGTTCTTGACAGCGACAGCCGGGTCGGTGAGGAAACTCTGGCGAACGCTGATCTCGATGCCTGCCTCCTTCGTCCTTTGCTCCAGATCGTCTAGAGTCTGAGAGATGAAAGGGAAGGACAGAGGGAGACAGACAGGGAGAGGGGGGGAGAGGGGGAGGTTAGAGAGTCAGCTGAACTGAGACAGAGAGAGGTGCCGGGTTGAGATGATAGAGAAAGACAAAAGAAACACAGCCAAGCCCAAAGAGACGGAAAAAAAAACCCAAATAAAAAAATCTGAAGTGCATATGAGAAACGCCAAGAGAGAGATGGACAGTGTGTATGATAAACAAGAAAGGCAGCATGGGAGAGAATAGATTTTTAGACAAAGAACAAGAGCTGAAAGAAGAAAAGAAGAATGTGAGAAGGAAGAGGAAAGAATGTGAGAGCGGGATCATTAACCTCCATTACAGGAACCAACCCAAGTGTCATGGTATCGACCGCCGTGCCTGGGAGAGATGTATTGCTTGATCAATATTTCTCACAACCAATACTCCAACAAATTACTTCAAAAATCCTCCATCAATCGCCTGGAGAGATTGCTTGAAGGGATATCGCATAGCCTGAGAACACAACAGCTCTCATAAACAAACATACAGAAGCAGGCAGGCAGTAAGGCAGCTTGACACTTTCCCAAAAAAATGATGGAGCCAAAGTAAGGACGTGATAAAAAAAAAAAAGCAAGCGAGGGAGATAAAAGAAAGAGTTGGAGATAAAACGAAGCCGTAAAATTGACAGCGAGATGGAGATTAAAGGCACTGACTGAGGTGAAGACTTCGGTGGTCTGCTGGATGGTGGCAATGCGTGTCCACTTCCACTTCTGGAAGAGCTGCACCCTGGTGGGGTTGTGAAGGGTGGCCGATGGATGCGTGCGGAAAAAGGTTGGGAAGCGCTGGCGGTTGGACAGGGCTGGCGAGCTGGAACCGTAGGACAGCTGGGAAACATGAGACAGAAACAAAAGAAGAGGAAAACGAAAGTTAGGGGGATAAGGAAAAATGTACTTTTGAAGGTCTTTCCAGGCATCAGTTTTAAACAGACTTCAATCAAAACGTATTCAAATCTGGACTCTCTTGTTCCTCCCCTGTACACAGTGTTCTTTGATGGCGACTGGTTCAAACAACACACAACAGAGAGGAAAGCCAGCAAAAAGACAGAGAACCAGAAAGACAATCCCTGCTCCCATTTTCTCATTTTCATCCCCCCCCACCCCACCCCCCCCTCCCGTCTTTCTTTCAGCTTCCCTGCGGCTTATCAGGTGTGCCAATAAACAATAAAAAAAATTAAACACTGCATGCAGGATTTCCCAAGCATGCATTGCCATGAAATTGTGATGACACATTCTGCTATTACAAACAGAACAAATTAAAAAAAAAAAAAGATCTAATTATTGTTGTTGCAAACAGTAGCACAAGTGATCATCTGCTTCTTTCATTTGGACCCGTATAATTTGAATTCTTAGGCACTATTCCCACAAGACGCAGACTGCTAAGATGTGTGTCCAAAACAGCGGGGGAGAGGGATGGAGGAGAAATGCCGACAGAAAGAGGGAGAAGACTGTTTCTATAACAATTAGTTTCATTGTGACAACTGGAGATAAAATCCTCGACAGTTCTCCGTTAAAACAAGGAACCCGGAGTTTATGGAACCATTAGAGATACAGATAGTGTAGCCTCCTCCCCAGCTCTCATCTCAGCCCCAGTGCCTACACAACCCTGGGATGTTCACCAGTGGGAATGAGAGGGGGCTTGACGTTAGATAACAAATGTCATGTGCAATGTGGACTCCACACAATAACAAATCCCTGTGGGCACATGCAGGTAGACGAAGGCATCAATACAAAGGAAGGGAAACTATACAGGAAGTGACAGCTGATCTGGGTGCGGAATCAAAAGATCTGGAGAAACCAGTAACAGCTTTGTTGGGTGACACGCTCAGTAATAAACGTGATGGGTGTTTGTAACACACATGAGCACATGCAGACTGTGACTGGAGTTACACGACAGGAAAAACACACTTTCTTTGCAGATAATGCTGGCTATATTATTATATATTATTTTCCATCAACAAATCACATGAAACAACCAAAACTAGCAATGAACTGATCCAACACTCTTAGAAATAAAGGTGCTGGCTAGAGCCATGTGGGGTTCTTCGGCTTGTTCCTATAGGAGAACCCTTTTTGCTTCCTGGTAGAACCTTTTTATAAAGTTTCCACCTCAAATCCTTCAAAGGGTTCTACTTGGAAACTATGCACAAGTTACACCTAAAATTATCTGTGAAAGGTTCCACCCAGTACCCCCTACGAGAGGTTCTACATGCAGAGAACCCTTCTGTGGTGTAATGGTTTCACCCAAAACTCTCTGTTAGGGTGCTTTCAGACCTAGAGTTGTCTTGCTTTGGTGCGAATCAGGGACTAATTTTGTTATGAAGTTGCATAATTGCCTATGTGGTTCATCCCACAAAGGACAGAGGGATGCTGTATGCTGTAAAGCCCTGTGAGGCAAATTGTGATTTGTGATATTGGGCTTTATAAATAAAACTGCCTGATTGAATTGATTGATGTTCTCACGGCAGCATTTACAAGCAGACAGATCAAATGCCTTGTGTGAGAAAGCTGCTCTTGATTGGTCAGAATTTCCATGTGGGAAAAATCCAGGAAGTAAACACAACGTTGAAGAAGAGCACACTTGCAAGATAAATGTGACACTTTCTAATGTCACAATGGAGGGACAACTACGCAGGTTGATTTTAGCGCTGCTCATCGTGGACTATATTGCTGTCATTGTTCATTTTAGTCAAACCATACAGTTTGAAAACGAGGCGCGGCTCCAACTAGAAAACAATGTTTTGATGCATTGGATGTGCTGAATGTGCATATTAAGGCAGTACAGGAGGAGGTGCACATTAATAATCCTCCAGGACTGTAACATGCTCATGTTTAACCCAAATAATGTGTAATGCAACTACCACAAACGAACCGCACCAGAGTTCGTTTGACCACCTCTTCAAGAGGGTCTCGGTCCGGTTGTTTTGGTGCACACCAAAGTGCGACTGCTGTGTTCACACCTGCCCAAACGAACCACACTTAAGGGGCAAACAAACTTGAGTTCGATTAAACCAAACCAAACAGGGCAGGTGTGAAGGCACCCTTACACTGTGTCCTAAAAGCAAGTGAGCATCTGACAATCGTGCTGCATCACGTTACATCCATTCAATATGGAACACTGTCCAGTCATGTAAATACCTAATTACCTCAGAGTAACCACTGAAAAGATGGGTGAGTATGTACTTCCTTATTATTCATATTCACAACAATACTATAGCGGGTAACTTAAGGATATAATTGTTGCAGCTACCACACTGTATCATACTACCATCTCCACTTTGTAAAACAAGTTAGCTTGCTAGATACTTTCCAGAAACGCTCAGCTCCCTGGTGATCCCCCTCCAACCTGATGCCAACTTATTTAGGTCTTTGTAGCGAAATAAGGAGGTATCATAGATAACTCTTCATTTCAACCTCATGAATCCATTGTGGCGCTTTCAATGCGCGCAACAGGGATCAGTGTCCGACAAAAGTATTGCTCAAAACGGCACTCTGCATCGCTCGCAAGCAGTTAGGACAGAGCAACAATGCAATCAAACTGATTTAGCTGCTAATACTCACTCACCTTGCATCCAGTCAGGACATGGTGTTGCCCCTTTTCCGCTAACATAGAACGTATTGCATTACATCATGGTAAAGACATCAACTATGGCAGAACAAAAGTACAATGAATTGAACAAAGGCTGGAACATTAACACTGGGTGCTACATTATAAAATCTGGCAAATAAGGAAAGTGTCTGGTACAATATATATTCAGAGGAGATACTGAGGAAATTTGTAACAGGTGACCGGGACTGATGTGAACACACTGAGGGCAACTACTGTCCAGAGCAGCTGGGGAAGGGCAGGTATCTAAAATGATGGGAGATGTTTATGACTCAAAATTTGTGCAAAAAACAGAAGTAGCCGTTGTGACAGCTCCATTGTCGCCTAAAAACACACTGGGTGACGTGTTCCTTTATTTCCATTAAATACGGCTATTGTAGTTTATTTTGAGTCAATCCCACACACACTGTCCCTCCGCCATAAATACTCACTCAAGCACCAAAGTTGTATTAATCCAGTGCATGTAAATGGGACTGTGTTTGTGAGAGGCCACAGTCATGTTAGCTACTCTGTGAGGCTGTATGTAGGAGTTACATGCTAATGTCAGCATGATAACAGGCTCAGAATGACCATGCTGATGTTTAGCAGGTAATATTTCTTCTTCTGTGCAGAGTTTGCATGTTCTCCCCGTGTCAGCGTGGGTTTTCTCCAGGTACTCCAGCTTACTCCCACAGTCCAAAGACATGCAGGTTAATTGGTGACTCTAAATTGTCCGTAGGTGCGAATGTGAGTGTGAATGGTTGTCTGTCTCTATGTGTCAGCCCTGTGATAGTCTGGTGACCTGTCCAGGGTGTACCCTGCCTCTCACCCAATGTCAGCTGGGATAGGCTCCAGCCCCCGCGACCCCTAACAGGATAAGCGGTTACGCAAAATGAATGAATGAATGACAGTACAAAAACATTCCCAATGTGAATCAGTTTATCTTCATAGTGAATTAGAAAATTATTGGTGGGATCACCTGAGCATGGCTAAAACAGTTATAAACTTCCCTCATAACTAGGGCTGCACGATATATCGTTTGAACATTGCTATTGCGATGTGCGCATGTGCGATAGTCACATCGCAGGAAATGCGATGTTTCTTTTTTTTTAGAACATGTAAACTTTTGTTTTGCTTCAGAAAAGCAGCCCTGAAGAAAGTTCTTTGCTCCGCTCGCCTCTCTGAGCACTCAGCAGCCCCTCCCCCTCTCATGCACACGTGTGATGTCATCGGGTTATTCTTGTCCTATTTTTATTACTTTTACTATAATTTCAGTCACTGTGTCTGTTCATGTGCCAGCCGAAATGTTGTTGTAGTGACGTAAAAAGTGCCAGCAGATGGCAGAGCTACACTTGAAGTACCGTACGCCAACATTCAAGTCACTGATTCCGCCACAACAAGTTCCTACAAATATTTCACAATAAAAGCCTATTTAGAAAATGGAGGGATTCTCTCAGACCAGGTTATAAGGGGCTTTTAATTTGAAACAAATTCTGGAAGTGTTGAGTTTGAAATGACGGTGCGACGCATTAACTTTATCAAGGCAACGGGAGCAGATAAAAAAGTACAAATATAAAGACACAGAGGGATTAATAAATAACAGCCATTTTATAATGTAGTCTGTTTCAAGTTAAGCTGGTAGCCTCTGCAGTTGTGGTAAATAAAAGCCCTGCCACTATTTTTTAATTTTCTTACTTTATTTTCTTGTATTTATTAATATCGCAATATATATTGCAAATAAAAAAAATTGCAATGTCAGTTTTTTCCAGTATCATGCTGCAAGCTTTTCCCCACATTAACACTCAAATAAACCTTCACCAGACACGAAAACAGTGACAAAACTAAGATGGAGCGAAAAGCTACTGCGGCAGAAATAGACCGATGTAGCAGCACTCTGCAACAGACAGGCAAAGTTCCACATTGAAGCTTCCCAAAAACCACAAACAATATCTCTTGATTCTCAGTTCGTCAGTTCTCCTGTAGCCTTGTAGTAGCAGATCAATGCCCGTCTATGGCTTACAGTGCTTTTAGAAAGGGAGATGGGGGATCAAATTAACACTGTGCCAAGAGAAGCCGATCGAGAGCCCCTTCTTGATCAGCGTCCAGAAACGGAGGTTGCTTTTGCCTCCCCGGCACTCTGATGAGGCTGTTTGACATGCGAGGAGGCTTCTGCAGGCAGGCAGCAAACAGAAATAATTGAGTGTGGCGGTTAGGAGGTTGTGCCAGTGGTGGCGTGTAGTAAAGAGAGACAGATCCCTTTGTGTGCGGGGAGAATCGAATGCTCGAGTTGAGGGAGTGAGGCGGAAATGAAGAGTAGGAGAAAAAGACAGTAAGGATAGAAAGGAGGAAGGAAGGAAGGAAAGAAGAAAGGAATGGAAAAGGGGCTGAAATAGAGCAGGCCAGCTCCAGGCAGCGACGACAGACAGAGAAAAGAGGAAGGCAAAGAGTCAAAATGTGGAAGAGTTTTTAATGATAAGGAAAGGAAGGGTGAGGAAGAGAGAAAGAGACCAGAGACAAGAAAGAGGGGCAGATGCCAACCACTAGAACTGATTGTTCTCGATGACTAATCTCTGGATGAAACTTCAATTATGGGACAAATCTAATAAGCAGAGCACATTGAGTGACAGGGAGGCAGATCAAGAGAAGGCAGAGAATGAGATAAACAAAATAAACTAACTGATGAAGGCATAAAAAGCAGGAGTGCTTTCAAAAAATGACAGCAGCAGAAAACAGCAGCAGATCTCTCGCTGATTTAGAGATCTGGGACACGTTTGTACTTCTTATAAATGTATAATCACACAGTATGTGAGGTCAAACAATATGTTTTGTCCTGCACATAGTGTCCCTGTCGATGCAGTATTGTGAAACTGCCACACAAAGTGTAGCTGGTAAATCAAAACGCTGTGTGAAGTATCTTAAAATCAATAAACAACTACAGCATTGATTTTGGGAACTTAGTATAATTACCACAAGTTCAAGCAATCATCATTTAGATTAATATCAGCTTCCAACAGCTTCTACAGTGCATTTTTGCCCGCATAAAACAGAGTGAAGAACCAACAGAGCTCAAGATTTCGGTGTCAGTCTGAAGATTTCTTATCAGTTCATATCACTCTCCGTGCTGTCTGGAACAAAAGTTCACTAGAGACAGAGACATGGGATGAGAGGCAACATTCATTGTCTTCTTGTTTGTTTGGCATCTCGCTCTCGTTCCCTGTGGAGGATCAGTGCAGTTACTGAAGTCGCTTTGGACCAAATGTTCTAAACTGTAAATGGCTGCATTTATACAGAGCTACCATGCAAGATTAGTTTTGGTTTTATGTGTTCAGGTGTTAAGATATCTACCTCTAAGATTTCAGACTCTACCTAAATACAGTGCAAGTGAATCCACAGACCGCGCTGTGCAATGCTGTCATTGTCAATTTTCTACCCAAGAAATAGTCCCCCTATGAAAACTGTTGACAGTGTGCTCTGTGGATTTTTCAGAGGAGCAGGGACACTGGATAAAGACGTTGCTGCTGAATTTTTAAATGTCATTTCTCAATGCTGTAAATCCCACAAATAAAATTCCTTTCACCTCCACTGTTTTGGGTGCAGCAGCTGAAATTTCAGAGACAGAAATCTCAGGACCTGAACCCACTTAACCCAAACTACCTGCATCATTACCAGAGGTGGGTCGGGCTGAGTATCAGTACTTGATATCTTTAAGGTTATCAACAAAAATAACTGCGGACCAAGTAGTATCAAAAAGTCTCCAGTCAAGGGGTCTGCCCATTGGTCCGATAGCCCATTGGTCCGACATCCCATTGTTCCAACCATATTAAACCCATTGTTCCGAAGTCCCATTGTTCCGAAATCATCATGATGCCATGTGGTTAAGGTCTGGTTAGGTTTAGGCATAAAAACCACTTGGTTAGGGTCAGGAAAAGATCATGGTGTGGGTTAAAATGAAAAAGAAAGTGACAAACACATAAGCCGTGAGCCTGCTCCACCTCGAGCCTTTCCCAGCTGACCCAGAGCCAATAGCGGCGCACCATCAAGGCAGAAATAAGCCCACCGGGAGCCATTCAGCACCGCGGAAAGCTCCCCACACAACCTGGACCCCAGAGTTAATAACAGGTTATGGTGTTTCATTCTCTCCTCTCTTTGACAGTTGTATCTCGACCAGTTGCCTACTTTTGTTGCGTTTGCTGATCCTCTATGGTACACAAATACAGTATAGCCTAGTATAATCACATATCGGAACAACAGGACGTCGGAACAATGAGAGGTCGGAACAATGCTACGGCACCTCCAGTCAAACGATATCTGCATTCGATCCTTTTTGCACCGGGGGTCTAAACCCGGACCATCCCAACTCAAACCCATCCCCTTCAGTTTAAGGTCTGCCCAGTTTGCACGGGCTAACACAGCAGCAGCGGCTAACATTTAACACAAAACCAATAAACAGTCCCAACAAATTCACACCAGCACCGAGACGGCTCAACTCCATCATTAAACCTTTGCATAACCGTATCCTCATACAACAGTTCAAGTGATATCTTATGAAAATACGTTCATATGAGCGCTAAGAAATTAGCACCCTATGAATGGTTTGTTATATACTTGATGTAAAGTTACATGGGTTAGGTTTAGGAAAAGAAACATGGGGACAATGTACCTTAAAATAACTTAAAAGTTCCCTTGGTTTTCCACAGTCCCAAACACTAGTTTCCTGGGAGAAAGTCCCATGTTTGTTTGACCAATCCACCCACCCCCCAACCTTCCTCCTTAAGCTGGATTTGTGTGTTGTGCAGCAGACCCTACGCCGTCACCTACGCACGTTGCCTACGCCGTTGTCAAGTACAAGAATCTGCTTCACTATGACTCGCAGCATTCACAAACAAAACACTTGTCTTTGTCTGTACACATGTTCCCCACAAATACAACATGCTAATGTTTTTAGCACAAGCCTATGGCATTTTACATTGTATGAATTAGCCTAGTGGCTGGCGATCTTATCCTCTTCTCATATAAAACCAGGGACAACAGCAACATTTAACAAAGGTAAAGATACATAATTAGGCTCCATTACAACTCACAAAGTTCACTAACAAAACAACTGTCTTATACTAAACATGTTTTCCAACAAATATAACATGCCTACGTTATTAGCACAAGCCTATGGCATTTTACTTTGTATGAATAGCCTAGCGACGCATGGACATTTCCTCTGCTCACATGAAGCCAGGATGAATCCCAAAGTATAAATCAGTCTGACACCCCTTACAGATATAGACAATATTTATATATTATGACACATTGGTGCCATTAAAAGTATGCAGAACTAGATATATAGGACTTCCTGTATGCAGTGTACCCATGTATGTATAGACAGCTATAACTGGATTACTATGATGCTGAAGAAAACTTGATTATAGTTATAAGGGGCATGTTTTTTCTATGATCTCGAAACAGATTTTAACATGTCTATTCACGATGGACATTGGAGATGAAATTAAATTATATCCTCTGGTAGTGGAAGTCACACTGAATCTAAAAATATGTGTATCATGTCTGTGTGTTTAGATTCGACTGAGGAGTACAAATTTTGATGCATTCCGCAGCTCATGTCTCTCCCTCCGTGACCCACCTTCAACAATTTGAAAAGCACTGTGGGTAAAATGACAGGGGATTGAAAAATGTCCTGAATGTGTGCACTTTGGTACAAACAGTAAAAGACACCCACCACTATGAGGTTCCACATGCGAGCAGCTTCGGCCACCAACGTGGAGACACCGCTGCAGCCAGGCATCAGGACGATCTTGATGGGCTCGGTGTACAGAAGGTCGTACAGCAACTTGGTGGCTTCTCCTGGGTCACACTGGAAGGACAAAATGACAGAGTGTTTAACGGATGGACGGTTAAACAGATGGGATGGGCGGATCGATAATAAGGATGAGAAATTACTTGAGGTGATCGAAAGAGAGAGAGAAAAGGGGAAGGAATCAGAGCAAGGGAAACGGGAGAGATAAGGGTGAGGGGGACAGATGGAATGAGAGCAGAGGGTGAGGAAAAGGAACAAATAAGGAACAGAGTGTGGAAGATGGAGGCGGCTGTAAACAGAAACAGAAAGAAGAAAACAGAAAAGGGAAGATAAAGTAAAGGGAAATGACATTGAAGAAGCTGGGAGCAACTAAAAGGCCAATGCAAATGTGAAGCGAAAAGACAAGCAGGACAAAGAAAAGGACGACTAAGGGAATTGGAAAGAACAAAACAGACGAGGTCAAGAAGTAAAGGAAAATGGCACGAAAGTAGCAGGGAGCAGCAAACAAGCAGATGCAAATGTAAAGGGAAAAGACAAGCTGGAGGAAGGAAAGAAGAAAAATTATCCGCACAGGGTTCACAGGGTTCACAGAGTTCACGTCCACACAGCCAGTATGTATCATCAAAACACAACACGCAGATCAAGACATAAAAACAGAAAGGCAGGCTGAAACCCAACAAAAGCCAGTCCGACGACCGCAACAGCAGCCATCACAAGTCATTACAACCCCCCAATAAAGTCATTTACAGCATGTCTCGGTGGCGAGAGTGTGGCTGGAATGATCCATCACTGCTCTGTCAGCCAGATTACAGACAGGCCGTCACCACCGCACTGCTCATCGGAGTCACTGATAAACTGGGCTGACACATCTAATGATTCACCATGGAAGAGGAGATGTGGCTCGCAAACACAAATACACACAAGCACATTTTATAAAAAAAAAAAAATACACTCTAAATGAGTGTCACAAAGAATCGGACAGCAGCCGATGACGGCGACAACCAATACGGCTCCTAATTGGGGTGTTTGTCTCAACGGCTGAATTGTCTCTTTGAGGCAGCACTCTGTTCTTTCTGAAGAGGTAATCACCGCTCAAGAACCAGGGAATATGTGGAATAGCTGCACTTCTTATTGACTGACGTGTTTTCCATTAACTCCAGATTGGGTGGAATTATAGTGGTGTCATGTCATTGCAAGGAAAGTCAAGATGTTAGCGTGCACTTAGATAATCTGAACCAAATTAAAGGAGAACTCTGACTGCTAACTTTGTGACCCTATAGAATAGAATAGAAAGAATTTTATTCATCCCCAAAGGGAACGTTAACTGTCCAGCAGCTTATAAAAAACAACCACACTTCCCCTCATCAACAACACAGTGATATTAAAACAGAGCTCAAATAAAATTAGTTGAAATTACTGCATAAATAGAAATTAGAAATCAAATTAAAATAAAATTGCCCATTCCACAGTCCAGTCCAGTTGTGGCTAATGTGATGTGTGAGTGTGTGTGTGACTGGATTCAGGAGTGGGGACAAAGGACCTCCTAAAACGCTCCGTTCTGCAGCGCAGTTAGATGAGTGAATGCTGCATCTGCTCCTCTGTCACTCCAGGAGGCTGTGGAGAGGGTGTCTGCTATTGTCCATTATAGCTTTCAGTTTGTTCAATGTGGCCCTCTCCACCACAGTTCTTAGTGGGTCCAGTCTACTGCCGAGCACTGAGCCAGATTTTTTAACCAGCCTGTCCAATCGCTTGGTGTTTTTGTCCGTCAAGCTATTTCCCCAGCACACTGCAGCTTAGAAAAGTGCACTGGCCACCACTGTGTGATAGAACATGGTCATGGTCCACAGGAAGAACAGGCAGCTCCGACCCCTCCTGCAGTGTTAGAGGACCACTTGTTTGTCAATTATTCACCCGTGTTATGTTGAATTTGTGGAGAAAACTCGGTTTTTCTTGCATACCTCCATGGTGAATGAAGAATCCAAAACAGAGAAAATTCTTGATGAATTCAAGTCAGAGGGTACAAGTCATTTGCATACAAACTCCCAAACAGCTTGTGCAGTATAATCCAAGTCTCATTTATCAAGGTGTATTTTCAGTACCCTTTCGGACAGGGAACTACACGTAAAGTGAAACTTATCTAAGCTCTCTTCAAAGCCAGACTCCATTAAGAAAAAACAGTAATTTTACCTCACTGAACACAGGAACAGCTTGTCTAGCACTGCCTTGATCGGTAGTTTTATTTGTGTTATTGTGTGACTTTGGTGAATCTGAACTTACCCTTTAAAACATCGAAGTCACACAATAACATAAGCAAACTACCTTGTTGAGGCAGTGGTAGACCAGCAGCCCCTGTGTTCAGCGAGGTAAAATTACTGTTTTTGTTAATGGAGTCTGGCTGTGAGGACAGCATAGATAAGTTCTCGCTCAGAGAGAAAAGAATATCTGTTTACATGTGCGCGTAAGCATGAGAAATGTGAAAAGTCTTTGGCAATTAGACCCCATGACGATGTCATCTATTCCAGGAGGGTGGTAAAGACGTGGTCCATGTGTTCCTTCAAAACACTTTCATTTATTGAATCACATAAAGACCTTTAGCACGATTGTTTACAGCATCTGTAACGTCTCCCGCGTAGGCACCGATTCAGTGGGTCCTCGGAAACTGGAGCACCCACAGGATGAGGCAACCAGATTGGGAGAAACGGGAACAGGAGAGTTTTAGCTGTGAGCTAATCTTGCGTCCATTCTTATATTAATCTTTATTGATGTCCTGACACTCCGCTCAGTGATGTCTTACATTACAGTGCTATAAAAGTGCATCATTTTGCATCACCTTCTGAACTGCCGCTGTCTGACCTAATTAGCCCCAGCAAACACAGGAAATAATCTGCTACACATTTTCTGACAGGATGTTTTGAAGCTGGGAGTTATTTGTTGCTATGTGCTACTTCATGGCACTTTATTGTGGTGAAAATGGGACTGATTAGAGACAAATTTGGGCTACAGGGTGAAGACTGGGTGGAGTTGAGGCGAGTGCAGCAACAGTCAACCAAGCCATAGTATCTTCATAATGGAACAAATAAAGTTGGGTCTTTGTTTAGTTGCCTGATATCAGACAGAATTTTCAACTCTTTATTCTCCAGTCAACTGGAACTCAGTGGAGTGGGCGGATTCAAAGGTCTGGACCCAGGCAAGGTGATTAGTGGAACTGCATCTAAAGTGGGATTCTACTTTTTAATCATCAAATACTTGCTCCTGATAGGCTAAAATGTTCCCATCCATCCTCCTTCACACTTAACTCTTTGCTACAATATAATCTTTCTGTTAGGATGAAGTGACCTAGGCATAGGCATGCATCATGTTTGTATTCATTTTATTGATTGATAGCTAGCACATCTGGATCTGGTTTGGGCAGAGACCCAATGTACGTAGGGGGCCCCTGAGAAAAACATCAGATAGGTTAGAGGAATGTACAATGATTCCAGATGTGGGTTTTGGTGTGTCTATATGTATGTGCCAGACTGAGAGATTGTACCTTCTCCGCAGCGCTGCTATTAAACCGTCAATTGAAGATCAACTTGTCGTCTATTGTGCATCTTTTACTATTTTGTCTCTGGACCAGAAGTTCTTTCCTATTGAAATATTCCTATTCCTATTTCCTACTGAAATATTGTTTGAGCTGCTACATCTCCATATCTTAAGAAAATACTTATAATTCAGGAGAGGTTTTGGAGAATGATTTCACATTCAGACGAGATCCATCTGCACCTCTGTTTAGAAAATATCTATTGCTGTCTGTGGACAAGGAAAATGTTTTTCATACGTGCTTATTTATGTTTAAAATCATGAATTGCAGGAAAGATCTTGCTTGTGTTACGGTGCCACTGGGAAGTTGGAATTTCTGTGTTCCAAGTCGGAAATTTCAAAAGGAGCGCCCCCTGAAGTTGGAGGAACCTAATCAACCTCTGACCTCAAAATCCAAGATGGCTGAAGGCTGAAAGCTGAAAGCTGTAGTCTACTGCTTACTAGCACTTCTGTCTCATTTGTGTTTCATTAAAATCATCATACACTCAGTCCAGTTTGTATACACAAAATACTGTCTAATGTGTTGTTATCAACCGGTATCGCTAACAATGGCAAACAACATCTTGTTTTTCCGTCTTGTTATACTGAAACGCGGCTGACTCGTGTGTGATGTCATTCCAAAGCTCCAACCTCTGAGGTAAATGAAACGCAGCAAAACACAAGCATGAAACGTAGCCTTGAGCCGTTAGCTTCAAGCAGAGATAAGGAGCAAGCTGCAGAGGCTGGTTAGCTCGCTTCTTTCTCACTCCACATCCCAGGATTTTGATGTGCAGAATCAGTGGAGTTCCCTTTAAAGAAGGGATGTTTTGGAAAAAATATTCAATTTGGTAAGCTGAACAGAAAATTACAAAAACAAGATTAGGCTACAGGAGAAATTTGAGAAGTTTTCTGTTGACTTTTTGATACTTTTTTCAAGTTGTTATCTCTGTAATGGCAAAACTACAGACTTTTAACCTTTTAGCGGCACACTGGTCCAATTCAGAACTTTCATGGACTGTTAGACTGTTAGGACGTGCACAAATACAAGCCTGTAATATAGCCCATGAATCAATAGATTGAAGTACTCCAGCAGTCTAACAACATAAAAAATGCCTGAAATCTTGATGTCCAAATTCACAACAAGGGTCCAAAGATCAGAGATGGTTCATTTGTTTTAATTTAGTCTCACCACCAGACAATCAGAGATCTCCGCCTTCTGATAGTCTGGGGACACTCCTTTCTAAACTGTGTTTAACACACCGGAGAAAACGGCTGGCAACAAAGCAACGCCTCTTGCATTTTTGAAAAGGACACGCCCTCCCAGAAATGTGCGCTCCCCCTTTTTCTCGTCTGCAAGGACACAAACACACAGAGAGCTTGAAAATGGATGCTGAGAGATTCAACTCCGTTTTATCAAACGTGTGATCAGTCCACAAGATTGTGGAAGTGAAGGACTTACAGCGACTTGAGCCATTTTGTACCGCTACACGTGTTTC